ACCAACGCCCGGCCTGGCCAAGCATTTGTAATTCATATTATGCCTCTGTGTTGTCTATTTGGAAAGTGGCTGCTGAAACACAGAAAAACTGTCTACAGGGGTTCTGGCCTGCTCCTTTAATGTGAAGGGATATGGGGTAGCAAGCCCTGCATGGATGATGGTACGCGGGAATTTGGGGGACTTAGTGGTTCATGGTATTGGGATGCAGGATCCGCATCTGCTCACCACTGAGTCCTGGGGAAAGTTTTATTTAGCTATGGACTCCTGTCCTACAGCATGTGATGGTAACTGCTATGACTAGTTCCTACCCTTGGGGGCCTGGAATCTCCTTGCTGTGGCCTGGCATGGGGTTCCTCCTGACTAAGGGGAGGTGTGAGTTTGTGAGGGCATTAATGATCACAGCTATAGCTAGCTGGTTAAGATCTCATGAGAGGGGCCAGAAGGGTCCTTAGCACCCCAAGCTATGTGACTAGAGGCCCGGGTGCAGAAGCCTGGAAGTATAGGACTAACTTGGTGGAGACAGCTCTCATGTACTACCCTAAGTGGCTCAGGCCTGTCCAATGGTGCCCCCTGCAGGCTGCCTGACCTGATGGCTGATAAATGCAAGGCTTGGGAGGTGGCAGTGCTGGAGCAAACCAGGGCTGTGGATGTGATGGTCAGTTTAGAGATCCACTTGCAGGGTCCACTTAGCCCTCTCTAAAGGGTCTTGTTTGGCCCAGGGAAGCAGCTTGGGCCCTATCACTTCTACATGGTCTTGGAACCCAGAGGTGACTAGGCTTCTTCTGGTGGACTCAAGCTCCCAGGAGCACCACTCTGGCCTGTGACTACTGATTAAAGGGTGGGCTGTAGCCAGACCAGTCCTCTGATGGTGAATTTTACCAGGCCCATGAAAATAAAGTCACCACAAGTGGGAGAAGGGACCTAAACAAAACAGTGATCCTGAGGCTGGAGGGTAGGTACAGCCCATTCAGTGTTTGGGGAAGCAGACCTGTACTATCCATGGTCATATAGCAGGGGGTAGTTTGAGAAGCTCTCATTTTGTAGCCCTGGCTGTCCTGATGCTTACTCTGTAGACCAGGTTGGTCTCAAACTCGGAGATCGATCGGCCTCACTCTGCCTCCCAAGTGCTGGGATTAAAGGTGTGCACCACTATGCCAGGTTAATAATCCTATCAGGCTTTTCTACTTTCCTGACCTCACAGATACTAACTACTAAGGTCTCATACCGTCCTGTTGGGAACTTGGGTGTCAGCACATTTTTAGAGAGACTCACATTTCACCAGTGGAGTTTGACTGGAAGCTGGCAGGGCTGTGGCACTGTGGGAAGAGTTTCTGTGATGCTTTACTTCTGTAACTGTAATAGCCCCTCCTCCTTCCAGTTGCCTGTAGGGCATTCCCTGTTCCCATGTTCTGCCTGGCAGGAGGCCCACAAGCACCCACTGTGTAATATCAAGGGATACAGTGCTACGGAAGTCTGGCCCTGATGCTGTGTGCCCAGCTAGGGTCATGTTTACTCATGGAGGACCAGTGCCAGAGTCCCCTTCAGCCATACAAGGCTCCTTTGTCCTGAAGTGGCTCTGTCCAGGCTGCTGCTGGGCGGCCAGTGTCCTCAGCATGGCCCCAGGCCAGGCTGGCTACCCTAAGGCATCCAGCTGCCCTACAGGACTTTCTCTGGACAGACTCTGGCTTGGCTGGGAGAGGCCCCAGCAGGGGATAGGGCAGCTCTCAGAAGGACTGGAGAAGCCAGGCAGACAGAGCCAGTGAGGAGTCCTGACTACAACCTTCTACCTCTCAAGGCCTCTTTAATAATGCTCCAAGCAACAGGAAACACTTGCAACCATATTGCTGCCCTGTTTGTGGGTAGCTAGCTAGTCAGCTCCAAGGCTTCAGGCCCTGCTGAACCCTTAAACCAAGCTGAGAAGTGCTGCCATGTCCTGCATCTGGCTAGTAAGTGCTCAGTGAGTGAGTGCCCTGTTTCTCGGGGCCTCAGCACCCTTGTCTGTGAAGTGAGCCTGGCAGGCTTTGTCATGTTCAACGATTAAGAACCCACTAAGTTGCCGGGCAGTGGTGGCGCACGCCTTTAATCCCAGCACTCGGGAGGTAGAGGCAGACGGATCTCTGAGTTCCAGGCCAGGCTGGACCGACAGCCTCCAAAACAATACAGAGAAACCCTGTCTCGTAAAACCAAAAAACAAAACAAAATAAAACCCTAAGTCAAGGGGAAGAGAGGGGAAACTGGTTGAAATGTAAATTATAAAAAAATATAATAGTAATAATAAAAAAGAACCCCCCCAGGTGAAAGTGTGTTTGCCCCATCTTTATCTGTATAAGGGCTGCTGTGGGTTCTAAGAGACTAGTCCTATAGATCTGGAACAACATGGTAGTGCATTTGGGAGACTTGGGCTGAGGAGAGGCTCAGGAATAGCTGGCTCCACAAAGCTGGTTAGGTATCTGTCTCAGTAATACCTAATACCTCTACTGGCTTTCTGCCTTAGCAAGACACTATCTACCAAATAGCTTCAACACAGGCCTCCAGGGAACCCCAGGCTACTGGGCATCTGAGTGTTCTCCATAAAGGCCCCCATTTATCTCTATGGTAGCTCACCTGGATTCTTTTGGCCCATGACTGGCTTTAACTCCTGGTAGTGGCTATCTGGGGACCTCCAGCTGCAGAGCAGCAGGCAGTCTCCACAGCAGGCCCTGGTTGAGGGTCACTCACTGAGGTCCACTTACTTCAGGAGTGGCTGGGGCTTAGCCTGGGTCTCTTGCTGGGTGGGACCTCAGGTTCAGCCACAGGCCTGGGTACCTGTCCCTCCCTGTATGCTGCGTTTTAGCCTCTACAGCAAGTCTTCTGGGAGTACAGGAGCAGTACCGATTCTCAGTCCTACCTACACATGCAAACCTCCTCTGCCTGCTTGATAGTTCTGGGGACTGACTAGGTCACAGTTGGGTCTGTTCAGGAGTCCTTGACACATGTGCCCAGTGCCACTCCTGAACTACAGGACCAGGGTAGCATACAGTGGGGTCTGTCTTTTGAGAGGCTAACCATGGTTTGCTTCCTGACTTGAGATGGTCTATTTATCCTTAGCTTTAGACACTGAGTGTCTGTCCTGGTATCCATAGCTTTCTTTCATTATCTGCAGAATGGTGGAAAGCTGGAGACCACAGCACTTTTTCAGAAGTCTGTTTGGGCTCCTTGCTCCATGGAAGAAGTCTCTAGACTATTTGCCTTAGCAGCCACTGATGTAGATACCTCACCAAACCCTGCCTGCTTAGCTTTTGGTTTTATGTAGACACTTGGGTCTGTTTGGCTTTTGATCTATATAGTCCCAAGGTCTCTGGGATAGGGTGTGTGGTGGTTTGAATAGGAATGGCCCCATAGACTCATGTGTTTAAATGCTTGGCACATGGGCAGTGGCATCATTAGGCCTTGTTGGAGTATGTGTGGCCTTGGAGGAAGTGTGTCATTGTGGAGGGCTTGAGGTCTCACACTACCTGAGAATTAAGATGTGGAACTCTCAGCTCCTTCCCCAGCACCAAGTGTGCCTGCATGCTGCTATGCTTTATAAGAAGTGCTGTGGTCGCCGGGCGGTGGTGGCGCACGCCTTTAATCCCAGCACTCGGGAGGCAGAGGCAGGCAGATATCTGTGAGTTCGAGGCCGGGCTGGACCGACAGTCTCCGAAACAATACAGAGAAACCCTGTCTCGTAAAAACCAAAAAAAAAAAAAAAAAAAAAAAAAAAAAAAAAGTGTTGTGGTCATGGTGCCTCTTCACAGCAACAGAAACTCAAACTAAGACAGGGTACCTTTCTCTCCATGTGGCTGACTATATGTCTGAAAATTGGGCAGGACTTAAACCCAACATCTCCTATCTGCTCATTCCCCAGGGGGATACAAATAAGTAGGCTCAAGAGGTGTTTTCTCCCAGCCAGAGAACAGGATGACCGATAGGAATAGGTAATGGCTTTCTAGTCTCAGGTCAGAGCTGGGCTTTGTGTAGCCATTTCTTCCAAGAGAAAACTTTTTTTTTTGGTTTTACGAGACAGGGTTTCTCTGTATTGTTTTGGAGGCTGTCGGTCCAGCCCGGCCTAGAACTCACAGAACTGTCCTGGAACTAGCTCTTGTAAACCAGACTGGTCTCAAACTCAGAGATCTGCCTGCCTCTGCCTGGTGGGATTAAAAGCGTGCACCACCACCACCCGGCCCAAGAGAAAACTTTATGTCTTGGAGGAAAACTCCTTAAGATACAGTATGATCTAAAGGGAGGCAAAACATTCCATTCTGAAGAGAACATCCAGGAAGTAAAGAACTCAACAGCATCAGGAAGTCTTTGAAACTAACCAGATTCACTAGACCCCACCTCCATACCATGTTTCTGTAACAGTGGTTCTCAGCTTGGCTGGTTGAATGACCCTTTTACAGTGGTTGCCTAAAACCATTGGAAAACACAGATATTTACATTTTTTTTTTTTTTTTTGGTTTTTCGAGACAGGGTTTCTCTCTATTGTTTTGGAGGCTGTCAGACCAGACCAGCGTCAAACTCACAGAGATCCGCCTGCCTCTGCCTCCCGAGTGCTGGGATTAAAAGCGTGCACCACCAACACCCGACTACATTACAATTCTTAACAGTAGCAAAATTACAGTTATGGAGTAGCAATGAAAATAATTTTTCACTGGGTGTTGGTGGCGCACACCTCTGTGAGTTCAAGGCCAGCCTAGTCTACAAAAGCTAGTTCCAGGACAGGCTCCAAAACAATACAGAGAAACCCTGTCTTGAAAAACCAAACAACACACAAACACACAAAAAACCCACCCCCCTAAAAAAAATAATTTTTCATGGTTGGGGGTCACCACAGCATGAGGAACTAAATTAAAGGGTTATAGCATTAGGAAGGTTGAGAACCACTGTTATGTAAGAACTGCAGAAAAGACACTTTCAAACAAGCTGAACTACCTGGAAAAACAGGTGAGCTTATTATAAACAACAGGACCCGGGCTGACTTTGAATTTGAAATTAAGAAACTTTAGTCTTCAAAGTAATGTAACTTAGAAATGAACAGGGGTTAAAGACCACACACAAAAGACAAATCAGACAGACACAGAAATGGGCGGACAGTGGGTTGGTGGTGGCTGGCTGCAGTCAGTTCTTCACCTTAGAGATGAGGTCATCACAGAGCTGGGTCAGCTCATCATTTTCTTTAGTCTGAAGGAGAAAAGATATGGTGAGTTTCTGTAGCGTCTCAGAGGAAGTGGCAACTGACTAGGAAGGGCCCACCCTTCTTAAGTAGGAAAGGAGACTGGAAAGGAAAAGGCTGGCCCTGGACTTCTGTAAAGAAAAGGCCAGTAGAGATGTAAAGATATGGCCAGGCAATCCCTTTATCAAAGTAAGCTCCAGAACAGGACCTGAGGTTCCTGTCTGTGCCCTACCTTGCATTCCACAGTCTTCTCCAGTGAATGGATTTGCATCTGTGCCTTCTTCAGGCTTGCCTGGAAAGCTAGCGCCTTGCTATGTGCTTGGGCGATCTCCTCGTTTGCTCTTGAGGGACAGAGACAGAGACACAGGCTAGGCCTGGCCCAGCAACAAGCTAGCTAGCCCTCCCTCCCAGGATGGGTATCTGGTACTCACAGCTTGAGCTTTTCTTCTGCATGGGCCTTCAGTGCCTGGTACCTCTGGCCTTCCTTTTCAATCTTTTCTATGTATTGCTCGATACATTTCTTCAGTGAATCTTCATTCTTGAGAATGAGCAGATAGGAAACACTAATGGTGCACTGTTCCATCAGAGCCAGAACCTGTCCAGGCTTGGCTATGGAGAGTCCCAGAGTCAGGTGCTTACTGTAGACACTTAAGGCTTTTGGGGACATTAGTGATAGAGAACTTTGCATTTTCCCTTTAGGAAAACCCTCTTGATGTACATTATGTCTAGACCACCTTAAAGGTGCAGACAGTTTCTGGACTTGCACCTCTGGGACCAGGGGGTGATCCCCAGACCCTGTAGTAACTAAGAATGCAAGACAGGTGTAGAACCACTGCACACTGAGGGCTGTCGACAGCACAATCATGAGGGAGTGAATATGCAGCCTTGTTCCCCACAGCACTCTTTGGGCCTCTCATGCCCACAGTGAAAAGTTGACTACTGAGGGTCATGTAGCAGGAGATACTAGAGCTCAGTAGCCTGTTCCCAAAATGACTTGTTTTCTTCACAGACACCATAGGCAAAGTCCAGTTTGCTCACCACCAGACCTTTTCTTCTTGTTTTTGAGACACGGTTTCTCTGTGTAGCCCTGGTTGTCTTGGAACGCACTCTGTAGACCAGGCTGGCCTTGAACTCAAGAGATCTGCCTGCCTCAGTTGCCCGAGTACTGGGATTAAAGGTATGCGCTACCACCACCCAGCTCACTTTGCCTTTTCTTGCAAGAGGATGTGTGTGTGTGTGTGTGTGTGTGTGTGTGTTGTGGTGTTGCTGGAGACTGACCCAAGGGCCTCATGTATGCCAGGCATACTAATACTAAATGGAGAAACCCCAGTCTCCTCTGAGGCTCCATGCTTACAGACTCTAAAACCTATGCTTCACAGACCTGGTGCTCCTATGCCAGAATCTATTGGGTACAGCTTGTCTTGTTGATAGGACATCACTGGTCTGGTGCCAATGAAAAGTAGTCAAGGACCCAGGCACACATAACAGTTCATCGTCTTACTCTTTTTTGTTTGTTTGTTTTTTCGAGACAGGGTTTCTCTGTGGCTTTGGAGGCTGTCCTGGAACTTGCTCTTGTAGACCAGGCTGGTCTCCAACTCACAGAGATCTGCCTGCCTCTGCCTCCCGAGTGCTGGGATTAAAGGCTTGTGACACCACCGCCTGGCCTCATCGTCCCACTCTTATGGGCTATGTCCTGTTAAAGGAGGATCAAAGAGGGATACAACGTACCTTGCGGTAGCCTTCAATCACTTCTTTCTGCTTCTCAAATCTCTTGAAAAGGTCATAGAAGGACTTTTCCAGGGAGCTCAGGTCTGTGGTAAGTTGGTCTCTCTCTTTTAGAACCTTTTTGATTTTGTCCTCTGCAAGTTCCTTCTGTTTCTCAGCCTCCACTTTAAAAAGTTTAAGTATCTGGGATTAGGAAGCAGCCTCTACACTGGATGCCAGAAACAGTCCCAAAGCAAAGGGTGAGGAGGAGTAGCAGGAGAGATGGGTAGCCCGGAGCAGGGTGCAACAGGTATGGACACTACTAACTGTCCATAACACAGTAAGTGCCCTTCCCCCATGTTCTCTGGGATGGAACATAGGACACAGCTGCTTCTTCCATGTCAGCCTGAGGAGCATGGCCCAGGACACAGCAGTGAGACTGGGAGAGGCAAGCGGCAATGTGGTGGACTAAGGCTCACGTGCTTGATCGGGCTTGGGGAGGGGAGCAGAAGACCTGTCCTGGCCACCGTTGACTTGAGAGATCCCTACGGGGACACCTGGGTTCCCACTCAGATACTTTCAATTATCTCTGGGGAGGGGAAGGCAGGACAGGACATCGTGTGACAAGTTTCATGGCATCTGTCCCTCATTAGAGCTCTGGCCACCAGCTGTTCAGTGAATGTCTGGGTATCTCCTCCCTTCATTAACCCTCACCCTTAGTGGCTCCACACACAGGTTAGGAGAAGAAATGGACAGCACATTGTTACCTCAGAACACTCACCTATTGAATTGTATACGATCTTCTCAAACTCATCCACGATCTTCCTATAGAAGGAGAGAAGATGAGTGCCTATGGCTCTTCATACAAATAGATCTAAGTCAGCATTGGTGCCTGAAGTCTTACCCCATCTCCAAGTACTTTGTGTTGAGGTCCTCATACTTCTTTCTCAGCTCCAAGTTCTCCTGTTGTGTCGCATTCACCTACAAAAGCCACACACTGGGTTGGCAGGTAGACCACAATCACAGGTCTGTGGGTGCCTTTCTTATCAGGGACTGTTTCATTCACACCCAAGGTCTCTGGAGCTATGCCACCGAGTTATGGGAACTCCATTCATGAAGACAAGAAGTTGGGCCATCGGGCCGGGCATTGGTGGCGCACGCCTTTAATCCCAGTACTCGGGAGGCAGAGGCAGGTGGATCTCTGTGAGTTAGAGACCAGCCTGGACTACCAAGCGAGTTCAAGGACAGCCTCCAAAGCCACAGAGAAACCCTGTCTCGAAAAACCAAAAAAAAAAAAAAAAAGTTGGGCCATGCTCATGAGGGCAACCTGCTGTGGTAGAAACCAGCAGGGAGTATTTTTCGGTGTTAACCAATTAGCCACAAGGGGGCACCACAACCCCCTTGGCTGTGCATAAGCAGGCACCACATGCCCAAGTTCAGTGTGGAACCCTCAGGCCTGTCCTGGTGCTGTTGTCCATTGATTTCTGAGACAGAAGCATCCAGGAAATCCCTGTAGACAGTCTGTGTGTATGTGGTCAAAGTACAAACTGCACTTATAATAACCTGTACCTAGCTCTCAGCTATTCCTCCAAAACAGCCTCCAATTTTTCACAAGGCAGCCACCAGCCTGTTCTCACCAATGTGTCCAGGTCTTTCTGGCTGTACCGTAGCACATCCACAATAGGCTCAGCAGGAAGGAGACCTCTTGGCTCAAGGCCACCCAAGGGTGAGCCTGGCACCTGTAGGGGTAAAACATGGGCCTTCAAGACCTCACTCAGCACTTTAGACCACAAAAAGTGCTCCAATGATAAAGTACTTACAGGAACATCCAGAGCTCCCAAGAAATCTAAGTCCACAAGATTGCCTTCCATTGGATTTCCTGAGCCAGCCTCATCTGCATTCTGTATACTGAAACCAAACAGGCAACATGATCACCTCATGCTCTGAGTATTGAATAGGGCATAAAAGTCAGTTGTTTTAACAAGCTTTTTTTTCCCGAGACAGGGTTTCTCTGTATTGTTTTAGAGGCTGTCCTGGAACTTGCTCCTGTAGACAAGGCTGGCTTCGAACTCAGAGATCCACCTGCCTCTGCCTCCCAAGTGCTGGGATTAAAGGCGTGCACCACTGACGCCCAACCTGTGTAGGGTCTTAGTTTAAAAACAAAGGCTAGAAATCCAGACTGTAGAACTGGACCTGGCAGTTACTGGCTCATGACCCCCTTTTCCCATCTGTGTACTTACTGTCCCGATGAACCATGCCTTGGCTCATAGCAAGCTGTGCAGATGCAGTAGATACCTTACTGTGGTGTCTTCAGTGTACAGGGTGAATACCTAGTTAAGAGATGTCAACTCTTCTCTGGTTTTCAGGGGTCTTATGTGAGATTTACCAAGTAATTCTCAATATTACTTGATTAAATTTTCTTCCAAAGTAGTAGACACTAGCCTGGAATTTTCCCATAAATCTCAGATTTGAAGGCCCTATGGCTTCTGTCACAAGTATTCAAACCTGCTTTTATAGTACAAATTGTCATAGGTGATTCATGAAGGAACAGGCATGACTGTGGAACTAGAATTCCACTCATAAAAACAAGTAATGTCTGACTTGGCTTAGTTTGGTAACCTATTGTGTATTTAATGCTTTTGTCTCTTAGGTGGCCTGTGTGAAGAGAACATGGCAAGCTCCTTACTAAAACATGGACTACATGATACATGTTCTGTTTGTCTGACACCATTACTGATTCTAGTTCAGTTAGCCCTTTTCTAGAAATTTTGAATCAGTTAGTATACTCAGTAACAGCCACTAGTCTGCCTGGTTCATGTGAAAATCTTCAAAGGAGGGACATACCTATTTGTCACTGGGACCACTGTCATTGGCTGCAGAGGGCTCTCTTTCAAGAGGGGATCAAATTTCAAGTACAAAGATTGCTTCCTCCAGGCTGACTCCTTAAACTGAGAGTTGGAGAGACGAGACAAGGAAAATAAGATTCACCATTGCTTTAACAGATACAATCCCAGGAGCCAGGGTGATCTTATTGAGCAAAGGGGGCTAGGGAGACCACAACACAACCTGATGAGTTCAGGCTGCCATCAAGTGCTAAGTACCTACCGAGGAAGTTCCAAACTGCTCCAGATAATCCACTTCAGCACCAGTACCTAGAACTGAAACAGTGAATAATAGTAGTCATTTACCTCAAAGCTGCAGGCCTTGAGGGATGCACACCCACATACTTAACATAGTGGGATCACTGTTCATTTATTTGGGGGCGTGGGGTATGTGTGTATTTGAGACAGGGCTTCATTGTGTAACAGCTCTGGCTGTCCTGCAACTCACGTTGTAAACCAGGCTGGCCTTGAACTCAGATCTGCCTGCCTCTGCCTCCTGAGTGCTGGGATTAAAGGCGTGTGCCACCAACACCCGGCCAATACTTCATTATTTTTAAGGACCAAAAGTTTGCATGTGAATTAGCCAGAACATAGCCTCTGGAATAACTACCTACGACCTGCAGGAATGTAACTGTCCCCAAGGACTTTAAGGAAAACTGATGGTAAAATATTGGGGCCACATACCTTCTGCTGGGTCTCTGAAAATCTCTTTCTCTGGGTCTAAGATAGGCTCTGGTCCCTGATGAGCAGGTCCCAGCACTGGCCCAGTAGGAGGGGTGAGGTCACAATCCATGATAGGCTCTGGTCCCTGATGAGAAGGCTCCAGCACTGGCCCAGTAGGAGGGGTGAGGTCACGACCCATGATAGGCTCTGGTTCCTGATGAGCAGGCTCCAGCACTGGCCCAGTAGGAGGGGTGAGGTCACCACCTATGATAGGCTCTGGTCCCTGATGAGCAGGCTCCAGCACTGGCCCAGTAGGAGGGGTGAGGTCACTACCTATGATAGGCTCTGGTCCCTGATGAGAAGGCTCCAGCACTGGCCCAGTAGGAGGGGTGAGGTCACGACCCATGATAGGCTCTGGTTCCTGATGAGCAGGCTCCAGCACTGGCCCAGTAGGAGGGGTGAGGTCACCACCCATGATAGGCTCTGGTTCCTGATGAGAAGGCTCCAGAACTGGCCCAGTAGGAGGGGTGAGGTCATGATCCATGATAGGCTCTGGTTCCTGATGAGCAGGCTCCAGCACTGGCCCAGTAGGAGGGGTGAGGTCACGACCCATGATAGGCTCTGGTCCCTGATGAGAAGGCTCCAGAACTGGCCCAACAGGAGGTTCGACCAGTACATTGTCCAGAAAACTTGTAGAAGCTGAAGTGCTTGAGGAATTCAAGATTACCTCCTAGAGAGAAAGTCAGCATCACCTCGCACAGGGGAAATAGTAATGTTGTATCCCACCCTGTCCCTAGAAGATTGCTGGTGGCCCCATCTGCCATGCTATTTTTCTTTGTTTTGAGACAGGATCATACTCTATAGCTCTGGCTGTCCTAGAACTCACTCTGTAGACCAGGCTAGCCTTGAACTTAGAGATGTGCCTGCCTCTGCCTCCGGAGTGCTGAAATCAAATGTGCACACATACATACCTGGACCTCACCTTCTGCTCTTAGGATCTCAGCTGCCATCTGAACCACAGGTGCATCATCCACTGGAGCTAAAGGCAGCTGACTGGAGAGAGAGAGAGTCATCAGAGCTGGGTCTTCCCCATGTTCCCTACTCTGGCATTAAACTATTATTTACCTCCCTCTTATGTTGGTTCACTTGAAAAGCTGCTCATGCTAAAAGATACATGAAAGTTATGAGGTTTCTCTGGAGGTAACAGACTACCTGGCTGCTGACACCTTAGCACCTAATTTCATATCCTAGCTGCCTCCTGGAGAACACCTAAGGATAGGGGCTTGCTTTCTCTCACTTGAGTGGTAGCCTATGCTTTTCCTTTTCCTTTTTTTTTTTTGTAGAGAGATGGTCTTACCACATAAACAAGTCTGGCTTCAAACTCTTGATTTGACTTTCTCAGCTACAACGCTAGGGTTAGAGGTCAACTACTTGCACCGATTGTTAGTTAAGCTGTACGTGTGCTGTTGTGCTTCAAGTAAGACAACACAGGAGCACCTCTCTCAAGGTCTTGGGACATGGACTATGAAGCTGTGCCGCTCTAGTTCTGAACAAACCTGAAATCTGTCTTGAGACTATGGAAGGGAACCAGTATGCTGGGTACATAAAGAAGTCACATTGAGATTAAGAGCACTGGTTGCTCTTCCAGAGGACATGGGTTCAATTCCCAGTACCCACATGGCAGCTCACATCCGTCTGTGACTCCAGTTCCAGGACTTCTGACACCCTCACACAGATATACATGCAGGCAAAACACCAATGAATAGAAAAACAAACAAACAAAAACCCCCAAAACTATAAGAAAGGAGTGGTATCTTTAGGTTACACACACCCTTAAGAAGTTGCTCCTGATAGGATGTCCCCTTTCCTACTTACTGGCTTGGAGAGTTCTCCACATCTGTAGGCCTAGCACTTAGCTGCAAGGCCAACCTGCTCTTGGAACTTTGTGGAAGCTTGGTCATTTTGACATTATACTTGGAGTCACCTCCAAATAGGGTGAAGTTTGGGTCATCCAGTTTTTCCTGGTTAAGGTGGTAAGAGCCCCAAGAAGCAGGCTGGGGACATTCATTTCTCTCTCTTGTCCCATCTCTTTCTTCTGCTTCTTTGGGGGCCTGCTCCTGGCTGGCTTCTGATTTCTTCAGGAGAGGCTGGAGGCCAGTTCTCTCTGCCAGTCTCCTAGGTGAAGACACCTTTGTGTTGATGGTATCATCAGAGGAGTCAAATTCTAGCCTTATAGAGTCATGACTTGAATGGATGACCATTTGGCCAATGGCTTCTTCTTGAAGACTTTGGGGGGAGGGTCTGTGGCCCCATCTGCCTAAAGAGGGCCAGTTGGAATTGAGTTCTTAGAACTAATGAACAAAAATGGAAAGGGGTCTGGGTGCCTGCTGCTGGCTCAAGGGTGCCTATAATCCTGGGGCAAGCTGAGGCCTCATAAATCAGTTTGGAGTGTTTTGCTTATCTTTACTAACTAAACTGGTTCTACACTAAATGAACTCCTATTTAAACTGCCTATGTCTCTCTTGATTGGACCCATTCTTTCATAAGGTAAGAACTGAAAGGCTGCCACACCACCTCCTAGGTTGAGATCTTAGTCGTATTAGAAGATAATCCCTGAAAAATCAAATACCTAGCTGACCACTCTGGTCATTCCCCCACCTCCCACCAAACGAGCTCCATGAGCTACCATCTGGGTATCATGCTGTCTTTAGTATGCAGGCTCAGATGAATACCTTAAAATAATGAATGGCAATATGACACATGCATGCCTAGGCCACCAAGGATAAGCTAACAAGTGACACTCTTAACAGGTACTACTCAGATATGCCTTTCCAACAAGACAAATATAGAGACAAGGACTTCCTTGGTCTCAAAGTAGGCTAGATTCACAGCAACCAAGTGCTGATTGCTTGCTCTGTTTGAAATTGTTAAATGCCAACAGTGTTCAACTAATCTCATCTGGCTGAATTTCAGAATACAAAATGAAATTGTAAATTAACAAGGACACCTAAAAAGAGCGACAGATTTAGAGGTGCTTTGAAAGGACAGAGATGTGGGGGGCTGGAGAGATGGCTCAGAGGTTAAGAGCACTGACTGCTCTTCCAGAGGTCCTGAGTTCAATTCTCAGCAACCACATGGTGGCTCACAACCATCTGTAATAAGATCTGGTGTCCTCTTCTGACCTGGGGGCAGAACACTGTATACATAATAAATAAATCTTAAAAAAAAAAGGGACAGAGATGTCGTGTCTTTAAAGAGCACAAGAATGTTTTATTCCTCATGTTTATATATATGCTTCAAACAGTGGAATCAGCAAAAATAGACCAGAATCATACCAGAGATCCCTCCTGCTCTGGATAAAGATGTATTCTTGGTATCAGATTGGTGAAGTAATAATTCCAAGGCCCTCCTTTCCATGCACAGTCTTAGTATCTGTTTGCCATTTTAGTAGGATTTCTGCTAGGGAAATGCCTTAATGTACCTATGGATGAAGCTTCTCCCCATCCTTTTAGCCATCTCTCTCTTTCTCTCTCCATCTGTTTTTACTAGTTCTTTTGTGGATATTTACATGAAGATATGTGGATGCGTGTGCACATTGTGCATGTGTTGTATATGTACATACATACATACGTATGTGTGCCTAAGCTGCCAGAAGTCAATATTTGATATATTTTTCTCAAGCATTCTCCACTTTAAATCTTGGAGATCAATGATTTGGCCAGAAAGCCCCAGGTTCTCCAACGTCCACCTCACTAGGGCTGGAATTAAAGGTGTATAGTTTTGTATTTTTTTGTTGTTATTTATTAATTTTTTTGAAATTTTTTTTAAGATTTATTTATCACATACACAGTGTTCTGCCTACATGCCAGAGGAGGGCACCAGATTGAACTGTAGATGGTTGTGAGCCACCATGTGGTTGCTGGGAATTGAACTCAGGACCCCTGGAAGAGCAGTCAGTGCTCTTAACCTCTGAGCCATCTCTCCAGCCCCTATTTATTAATTTTTTATAAGATTTATTTATGTACTTTATGGCCATGGTGGTGGCATATGCCTTTAATCCCAGCACTCGGGAGGCAGAGGCAGGCAGATCTCTCTGAGTTTGAGACCAGTCTGGTTTACAAGAGATAGTTCCAGGACAGTCTCCAAAGCCACAGAGAAACCTTGGCTCAAAAAACCAAAAGATTGGGCCTGGCGTTAGTGGCGCACGCCTTTAATCCCAGCACTTGGGGGGCAGAGGCAGGTGGATCTCTGTGAGTTCGAGGCCAGCCTGGTCTACAAAAGCTAGTTCCAGGACAGCCTCCAAAGCCACAGAGAAACCCTGTCTGGAAAAACAAAACAAAAAAACCTAAAGATTTATTTATGTACTTTACAGACATGAAGATCTGTCTTCGTGAACACCAGAAGAGGGCATCAGATGGTTGTGAGCCACCATGTGGTTGCTGGGAATTGAACTCAGAACCTCTGAAAGAGCAGTCAGTGCTCTTAAATGCTGAGCCATCTCTCTAGCCTATGTTCTGGGGTTTTTAAAATGTAGATACTGAAGACTGAACTCAGGTTCTCATGCTTGTGTAGCAAACAGTACCAAGGGAGTCATCTCCCAAGCTCCGACTAATTGATCATATGATAATTTTTCTACATATGAGTTCTATCTGCTCTCTCCAAGTGTTGAGTGTGGGAAGGCAAGCACCAATTTCAAGCAGAAGGGAGGGATGAACAGAACTCAATAGGAAGGAAACTATAAGCAATCTTTCCTGGAAATGAGATCTAGCTATTCCACCAAGTTATAAAAGTAAAGACTGGATGGTAGGGGCACAGCAAAAGAGTGGAGTATGGAATTAAAACAGTCCAATTACCTGATGATTAACCCTCCACTAACAACTGCCAGATTCTGCACTTAAGGGCAGTGATCAGAGGGAAAAAAAAAGTCCAGCTATGAGAGGATTGAAGGCTTTTTGCAACAACCACCAGAAGAGGACAGAATCACAGGACATTAGATGGAATCAACACTTACTTCTTTTGTAAGCAGACGAAGCTATTGTTTTCTAATCCAATATTGTCCAGAGCAAAAGGAGTCTCAAGTTTGCTGGTCGTATTAGGACTTAGGATCCTGTGTGTCTGTGGATCCCGAAGAGGTGTATGAAAAGTCACCTAGTGAAAGATGAGGAGAGTGTACATGCGCCATGATATAAGCCCTCACAAGCAAGCCAACGTGCTACAGCGTAAGGGTCTCAGAAAGCCAATCCCAAAGCACCTGATAAGCACATACATTACAGTTCACTTACTTTTGCAGCTTTAGTCTGGTTCTTGGGTGGCACATTTTCTTTCTGTGATGGACGAAGAATAGAGGATCTTCCGGTAAGTTCCGGTTGTGAAAACAGGAAGTTACAGCTTTCTGAACTCTCTTCACTGGGGACATTTTCATCATTTAAGATATGCAGGCTCATTCTGGGGAAACAAAACAAAACAAAACCAGAATATATTTTAGTCACTAGGAAATCAACGATGCTGCAGCCTATGTACAGAAATGCCCCACAAATACATCAGGGAGATACCTCTTCCAGAATAGGTAAAAGCTAGTGGCCTTCATAGGTATAGTTAGTACTTCATGTAGGTGTCACTTGCCAGAGAAAGCCTCAAGAGTCCCTTGTATTATATTAGCTATACTGTCACCTCCTGAGCTAATTGCTAATAGGGTTCTGGTTGAGAAACAAAGAACCAGGTGTTTATAGAATGACTTGCATTAATGTATTACACTTCAGGGCAAGAGCTAGAGGATGTAATCCTGGCTTTGAGGAAATCAAAGAGCTGGGTGGTAGTGGTGCATGCCTTTAATCCCAGCACTGGTGAGGCAGAGGCAGGGGACCATAGGTTCTTGGGGGTGAGCCCCTGGGAGCTTTCTGGTTGAAGAGCAAGGAGAAGTACTGGGGAGAGAGGTCATCACAGAGTGAGGCTGCTGCTGACTCTGTTTTGGGAGCCCATGAGGAAAGGCAGAGGAGAGAAAGGACAGAACCAGTTCCTATAGCTAAAGAGAGGTAGACTAGGTTGCTCAGCCAGGTACACAGGATATGGGGTAAGGAGAAAAGAAATCAAGAGCAATGTTTAGGATTTGGGGCCTAAAATCTGGTTATCAGAAAGCACAGGGAAAGGGCACTGGAATGGCTGTGGAATCATAAGTATAGGCCTCTGGGCTGTATGGCCTTAGATGAAGTCTTTCAGGCAAGGTGGAAGGACAGCTGGTCCAGCTTCTACTTAAGATGGGATTTTGTGTTGTTTTTTTGGGGGGGAGAGAGGGGTGCATGTGAACGGGAGGCCAAAGGTTGACATGAAGTGTTTTCTTCAATTGCTTTCCACCATATTGGAATCTTTAACTGCACCTGGAGCTCACCGATTCAGCAAGACTATCTAGCCAGTGAACTCCAGGAATCCTCCAGTCTGCCTGCCCAGTGCTGGGATTACAGGCAGGTGCGGCCATGCCACACAATTTTTAGGTGGGTTCTGAGGTCCTGAAGTCAGGTCCTCATGCTTGTTTGGCAAGCACGTTACTGAACGAGCCATGTCCCAGCCCCTGGAGGGAGTTCTTGGGTACAAAGACTGACAGGCCAGGCTTGGGTTGTGCTGTCTTGGTGCAGCATTGACTACTGATGGGAGAGGGAGCGTACACAAGCTCTGGATGTTGCTGTGTGCTGCACTTTTCTTTGTGAGAATAAAATAAGCATGGAGTCAGGGTGCCTATGGGAGATGACACAGGTGAAGTAGATGATGGTTCCCCCAGGTGGCGTATTGGGAGTGGGAGGAGAATGAAGCAACTCTGACCTGGAGCAGTGAGTTGGCAGGTGTGTGAAATCAAGGGATCATGCCTGATAATTATGAATCAAATAGGTATAGGCATGAAGTCATCCTGATACTAGAGTTGAGGGAAAAGCCTTGGCCCTGAAGGACCCTGTTCAGAGAGGGATGCTGTAAAGAAGGAAACCCATCTGACTGGGCCATCTGTAGTTGAGAAGAAAGCGCCTCCAACTGAAGCCATGTATTATGAGATTGTGGCCAGGCTGTATAGAAGGACGACTGAGATGCATTGGCTCAGGAACAAGAAGCTGTCCCTGGGACAGTGTGTTCAGGACGACAGACAACAGGGCAGGTTTTCAGAAAAGGTGGAAGAAAGAGACCTGGGATGTTCTGGCTCCGAGACGCGTGTCTCACACAAGACACACTCGACAAGAACAGGAGCCTGGCGAGATAAACACGCCACGCGCGGCCTCTTTGGAGGTATGGATACCAGCTGGGTCAGACCGAGATCACTGGCAGGCCGGCCTGCACCGCCCAACCCGAACTGCAGTCCGCGGCGCCAGTCCTGCCTAGGAGACTTGGTACACCCGTTATCCCAGAAAAGAGGACCCTTGAGCCAGGAGTGGGCCCTCAACAAAGGGAGAGAGCGAAGCGGAGGAGGAAAGGAGTCGCAACCCAGCCCGGGCTGATCCCCACCGCTCGCCCACAGGAATGGGAAGTCGCCGCTTACCTGCCTACTGCTGAGGGGCCCTGGGCCCGCACCGCCCCTGCTCTACGCTGGGTCTCCGAGCTGGAGAAACCGAGGCGTAGGAATCCCAACAAACTCTGCTTTCGCAGTTCGTGACTGCCGTCCGCTGAGCCCGCCCCAGATTCAAATACCGAGCGTTGACGTTCCGCGGCCAATCAACGCGCGGCAGGAGAAGAACGCCACAACCGCGGGCGGCCAATAGTAGGCGGTGCTGGTCCCGCCCTCCACGCGCAGGCAGTTCCGCTTCCGGGGCTGAGGACACAGTGGGGCGTGTCGGGCGTGTGGGTTCGTTAGGCTTGCCTGGCCGGCCGAGTCGGCTAGTCGGCAGCCAGGTACCGTAGGGTCCACCATCTCCGCTGCCATATGGACCCAGCTGTAGTGTCTTCCCCGAGCTGCACCCATGAGGGGGTCCCTGGGTGGCCCACGCCCCGTGGGGCGGCGTGAGGTTCCGAGAGTCCTCCCAGAGTGCCCCGAGCGGCCTCACGAGACTCCGTCTCCCAGAGTTCCCTTTGGGTCACCCGACGGTGAATTGTCTCCCACAGTGCCCCGCGGGCAGTAGAAGGCCGTACTCCATCTCCTAGAATGCTTTGCGGGTCCCTTGACAGGAGGTCCCCAGCCTCCCAGAATGCCCCGCGGGCACCTTGACTCGGTCTTCCCGAGTGCCTCGCGGGCGGTTTTGCGGTGGCCGCGACAACCCACCAACTGTCCGGGACTCGATGCCCCGGTGTCCTCCCGGCGCGGCGCGCCTCGTCCCGATGGACAGCCCTGAGGTGACCTTTACGCTGGCCTACTTGGTCTTCACAGTATGCTTCGTATTCACGCCCAACGAGTTTTACTCGGCCGGTCTCACTGTGCAGAACCTGTTGTCGGGCTGGCTGGGCAGCGAGGACGCCGCTTTCGTGCCCTACCACCTTCGTCGCACCTCCGCCACGCTACTCTGTCACTCACTGCTGCCGTTGGGTGAGCCTCCCGGGCGAGGGCCGGTGGTTAGCGCTGGACAGGGCGCCTGGAGACTCAGGAGGCTCCCCGCCGTGACCGGTCAGCGCAGGCGCAAGCGAGCGGGGTCCCTGCCGTCCAGTCCGTAAGCTGAGCGCTCCAGGGTACCCTGTGCTCTTCGCAGGCGCTGGCCTTTGAGTGATGCTCGGGCGGGGCCGGGCTCTAGCCTGACTTCACTGTGGCTGGAGTGCAGACTCGTTGAGCCCTGTTTGCGATGTTGGGCGATTTATAAGAAAGGGCTCTTGTTGACTTGACTCGTTACTACAGGGGGCGGAGGGCTACCCGGGAAAGGGGTGTGGAGCCAGCAGGCGGAGATGAGGACTGGCAAGGTTGGGTACACGGATGCAGTCTTCTTTGCCAGGCTAGGTTTGTGGTCCTGCCCCAGGGAGAGCGGTATGTGGCGCCCCGTGTGCTGGTGGGACCTCTGACGGGTCCGTCTGTCAGCTGTTCGGAGGATGCCCCGGGGAACGGCCTGGATAGAGCAGTATGATTGGACGCTAGGACCCAGATGAAGGAGCTCAGGGATGATTGGGCTGAGGGTGCGGCAGCCAGGCTCCAGGGGGGTGGAGGCAGGTGTGGTAATGGAAGGCCTGTTTTGAGAGGAAGGTGGGTTGAGGAGACTCCGTTGGAGAACTGGACATGGAGCTGGCATGCCTATGCCATTGTCTGCCTTGAGAACCTAGAGCCCTGTAAGGCAGATAAAGAAGATGGGACTCTGGGACAAGGGCTGTCCAGCTGGTTTTTGGACGCCCCCTAGCTGTGTTCATTTCTTAGGCACTCCCATGCCTGGACAAGGAACCCAAAGTCACTAACTCATAGAGGTTATACGGAGACCTGTCAGACAGTGGGGAGACCTGTCAGACAGCGGAGCTGCCTTTTGTTGCTCTATAACCATAACAAGTTATTTTGACATGTAATGAGTTGGCTAAAAGTAAACATTTACTATTGGGTTTTGCAGATTGGAGACTGCCTAAACAGTACCTTACCATCTACTTTGTAATTCATTTTGAGTTTTTCCCTGTTGGGCTATTAGGGCCCTAAAACTGGTTCTTTATTCTTACCACATGCCCTATCATTGAGCACTTGCTTACTTCCTGTGCAGTGTCCTGGTTCTGAGATCTGCCTCCTCAGAGAGGAGAGACCAAGATGCACCCTGGTGAACTGCCTCAGGTAGACCAGTGGTCAGTTCTATGCAGTCACTGTGTTTCCTTTTGTTTTTTTTTTTTGGGGGGGGTGGGTAGTTTATCCAGACAGGGTTTCTTTGTGTAGCTCTGGCTCTTCTGGAACTTGCTCTGTATACCAGGCTGGCCTCAAACTCACAGAGATCTACCTGTCTCTGCCTCCCTAGTGGTAGGACTGAAGGTGTACACCACCACCACCTAGAAACTTTAGATTTTTTCCCCCTACTTGGCTATTTCTGTGAAATTATAGTAGTAAATTGAAAGCATTGTCCTGTAGTGTGTGGTACCCCTGCTGTGACTAAGGGCTGAGGCAGGCCTGCTATGGAGGTATAGGCGTAAGGATAATATGTTCTGGAAGCTAACCATGCCTTAGGTGCCAGGGCAAGACTCAGGGTTGGCAATACACAGGAGGTAGCTCCTCTCTTTCCTCGAGCACAGGTGGTCTTTGAGTAGGTTGTCATGGGAGGGAGGTAGTACCCAGCAGCCTGGACTTCCCCTGAGATGTCTCCTCTTCTGCAGGCTACTACATGGGCATGTGCTTTGCAGCTTCAGAGAAGCAGCTCTACTCCCCTGGTCAGGCCTCAGAGGCCTGGCAGCTCTTCCTTCTCCTGGCTGTGACCCTTCCCCTTGTCTCCTGTACCCTGATCTACTACTGGTCCTGGGACAAATGGACCCGACACCCGCTGGCCCAAACCCTGGCCCTCTATGCCCTTCCACAGTCAGGGTGGCAAGCAGTTGCCTCTTCCATCAACACGGAGTTCCGGCGGATTGACAAGTTTGCTACCGGGGCACCTGGTGCTAGAGTGATTGTGACAGACACATGGGTAATGAAGGTGACAACATACCGTGTGCATGTGGCTCAGCAACAGGATGTTCACTTGACTGTGACAGAGTCTCGGCAGCATGACCTCTCACCAGACTCAAACCTACCCGTGCAGCTTCTTACCATACGTGTGGCAAGCAGCAGCCCTGCTATGCAGCCCTTTGATATTCGGTAAGTGCGTGCAGGTTTTGGAGGGCACAAGACTTATCCTGTCTACTTCATATCCCTCTTAGGAAGTGCTGAGGGTAGGGAGGACTGGGGCACTCCTGGGGCCTATGACATCAGTCAGTTGACTACTTTACTGTCACCTTCCTTCAAGGTACCTCTTGCCTTCTGCTTTCTTTTTGTTGCTCCTTCTGCTCTATCACTGAGCTGTCACTACAACTTCTTGAGATAGCCTAGGAATGTAGATTGGGGGCACCTCAGCTCCAGGCTCTTCTGTCCTCTCTATTGGGAATGAGTGACGACTGAGTCTATATATTCTGCCTTTAGGACTATCTTTAGTGACTACTTTACTAAGGTGGCTTGTTTTCCCTGGCCTTGCCTGCTTTTGGTTCTGGGTGGCGTTAGGTTGTAGACCCAAGGGCAGATTGGCCAGCTCATCAAACCATGCCTCTTCCAGGCTGAACTCAGCGGAATATGGCGAACTATGTGAGAAGCTCCACGCCCCAATCCGAAGTGCAGCCAATGTGGTTATTCGCCAGAGCCTGGGTGACCTCTTCCTAGAAACATTTGCCTCCCTTGTGGAGGTCAATCCAGCCTATTCAGTGCCCAGCAACCAGGTGGGGGCTGACCCAAGTGTGGGGGGTACCCCTCCTTCCTCCCAGGACCACTTTGTAGGCCTTTTTGTAACTCCTTTTGTTCCAACTACCTCTCTGTAGGAGCTTGAGGCCTGTATAGGCTGCATGCAGACACAGGCCAGTGTGAAGCTGGTGAAGACCTGCCAGGAGCCAGCCGTGGGCGAATGCCAGCAGTGTTACTGCCGTCCCATGTGGTGTCTCACTTGCATGGGCAAGTGGTTTGCCAGCCGCCAGGATCCCCAGCGCCCGGACACTTGGCTGGCCAGCCGTGTGCCCTGTCCCACATGCCGTGCCCGCTTCTGTATCCTGGATGTGTGTTGTGTACGCTGAGCATCACAACACAGTCTTTGTCTCTACTAGCCACTTATGAGCTAAAGCTCCTTGACCTTGACAAAAGATTCTAGTCAAAGCACACACTTATCTACAGCCACTCTGTCTTGAGTCTGTGGTAGGTTGAGGATTTTGATTTAGAAGAAAGTCTCATGGGAACACCCTATCCTGCACCTTCAGCATCTTCCTTCCTACTTACCTCCAGATGGGGCTGATATTTCGCATAGAATGCTCCAAAGCCCCAAGATGTTGGATTTTGGCCCAAGAGCTTTCATTTGGCCAGTTTGCCTTAATTCTATTACAGATCGTATCTGCCCCTCAGAACATTTACAAGCCAGACCTCAGTCTGCCCCAGGGCCTGTGGTGTTGGGTGGAGGCTGACAGTTGAGGGTCACTGGGGTGCCACTCTAATGTGTGAAGTCCTTTTCTAGGGTATCCTGCTGGCTACAGCCAGCCAAGGGACACTTCTAGGTAGGGAGTCAGGGGCAGCACCCTAGGACAGGCCAGAGTGCTCTCCCAAGTAACTCATGAGGTTGCATATGCTTTAGAGGCCCACAGTCTTTTGTTCTCTTCTCTTGCTTTAGTCCAGGGGAGACCAACATCTCACTCTCCTGGCCCTAGAGAGATAAGGACCAGAGAACCACAGCACTATCCAGAAAGAAACCCTCCAGGGCTGCAGTACATGGTTAGCTAGGGCCCTTGTGGGTAGCTTGGATAAGGAGATGGCACCTCAGTGGTTAAGGTTCTGATGGGCATACTATTGGCTTATCTATGGTGCAGATGGGAGGGGAAGAGGTTGCCCTTTACCCTCCATCTCTGATACAAGTAGCTGCTAGGGGGAAGACCTCTCCTTCAACTTGTGGCCCTGAAGCTCCTACATTTGGCTGTTTCCAGCAGTAGTGACAGACCAAGCCAGCCCCTTCCCCATCCAATACTGCACCTAACCCCAGGGATTTGCTAACAGAGCAAGCCCAGTTCTGCCTGTCCTTGAAACATGGCCAGGAGTCAGCCAGTTTCAAGGGTTGCCTAGCAGAGGCCAAATGGTTTGAGGTTATTTTATTGTTTTTAACCACAGAGGAGTTAATTTTATAAAAAGAAATGTAAATGTCACAAAATGACACAGTATTTAATAAAGTGTTACTTTCCAAGTGATGTACTTAATTTTATTTGCCTGGTAGTAGGAACCAAACTTTTCCAACACTTGGGGTAGTGGCTGGGGGATGTTGGGAAAGTGAGATGACTGGCTGTAGACCAGAAAGCTAGGCAGTGGGTCTGGAGAGATGGCTTAGAGGTTAG